TGCCATGATCTGGGGTTTTCCATTCTGAAAGACCCCATCAATAAATCTGCTCTAAAAATTGATTTCCTAACATCACCCCAATCCTCTGTTTTGGCCACAGTGATATTCTGATGTTCCATCTAGGTGACCCTTGATTGATGGGGGATGACATCATGTCTTCTTGCCCTTGAGAAATGTCTTATTGTCTATACTGGTGCTGACACATGCTGATCATCTCTTGACTTTAAATTCCAGTGATGTCTATCAATCATCTTCATGTTGATAGCAATGACATATGGAGTCCTGTACTTTTCCAAGCTTTGACTCATATTAATGACTGCGCTATCGATTTAGAGCCATTCCTTCTTTCAATACAAATAAAATAACTATTCAAGGGAATTGCATGTTAGGAAGAAAGTGTTAAGAGAGTGTTTAAACCCCCCCCCCCCCAAAAGCAACATATTAAAACTGCACTAAGGGCTGATAACATCGCTAGCCTTTGTGAATGATTTATTTAGAAAGGACTTCTGCCTTTCTACTCCTACAACATGGAATCACTTTGTCTCCAATTATTGGAAAAACTTCAGGATTTCATTTATAGTCTAACCATTATGTTCACTTTTGGGATAAATCTGAGAGTTAGAATTATTATCCAATTATTATAGAATAGTTACCTCTTACTTTTTTGCGTTTTTCTCTGGAGCACTACTGAACTTTATAAAGAAAGCAATCAGAGTATTGCCTCCATTCTCATACCTATTTTGGGGGAAAATCCTAAAAAGGGTCATTGTGTGGAAATGTCAAAACAGGATGTATACATTTCCCTTTTATTTTATTTTATGAATTTCATAAACTGATGAAGAAATGAGCCAGAATGAAATTATGTATAAATATTTGTCCTAAGTCAAAATAACCCAAACAATAGATAAATCTGTCCTTTCCTAACAGTAATATAAATAGGTAACAATTTTACAGCAACGTACATAACTAGAACATTGTCAATTTAGGACTAGAGTGAACAAAATTTCCATGCCCAACCTCAAATCTCCTTGGATAACCACTGACAACCTCAGTCTATTTCACCTTAGAGGGGGGAAAAATACAGAAATAATACATATGCCATTTTACATTCCTTGGAGGAAAAGAGAAAACAGAACCTCAATAAGTAATAAAAGAAGCCTGGTTTAGTATTATTATTCCCACATTTTAAATGAAATTTATTTATTTATTTATTTATTTAATAAAACTTATATGCCGCCCTTCTCCCCCATGGGACTCAGGGCGGCTCACAGCATATTAAAAACAATACAAAACATTTCCCTATAAAAGCCAATTAAAAACCAAATATTTGTAGCTGTGTCTTATTTAAAATCATTAAAATTGTCCCTATTTAAAAATTCACCCTAGAAAGATTTTGAGATGGGGAGTTGCCAAAGGCTGCCTGGTGAGTTAGTGGCAGAAATGACATCTGAATAAAGAATTCCTTAATTCATAGCCTGAGCTTCCAAACCATTAAATTTTTCACATTAAATCTTCTTATTACCATTAATTCATAAGTCTAATTAACCAAGATTCAAACATGGTTGGTGTCCAGGTTGTTAAGTCAAGGCATCTTTTACACATTCTGAACATTTATCAAAACAAAGAACTAAACGGAGGAAAAATGTTTATGTTTGCTATTTATTGGATCCTTTTTCTATTCATTATGTACAATCTCATTTCTAGTCTTCCTAAACCACATGCCAACATGTACCTGTGGCTTCAGCTAGTTCCATGTTTTGATTATGTGCTGATGTTCATATTGATTTGGGTTCTTTTGCCCAAATTTTGTAGAAATGCTGCTCACTGACACCACAACTCATCTATTGATTGGTTGTCATTATGTCTTCAACCACAGGGGTTGATTGCTGATAGCACTGGCACTTAGACTTATATATTGCTTCATGTGCTTTACAGCCCTCTCTGTGGTTTACTAATGCCAGCCTACTGCCACCAACAATCTGGGCCCTCATTTTACCCATCTTGGAAGGATGGAAGTCTGAGTCAACCTTGAGCTGGTCAGGATCGAACGCCTGGCTGTGGACAGAGTCAGCCTGTAATACTGCATTCTAACACTGTGCCACCAGAGATGGTGACAATGACTTATGAGTGCTACGGAAGCGTGACATGGAACACTGACACAAGCAAAGTTGTGTCTGTGGTTAAATCCACAGAAAGAGGTGGCCATATCCACTATGGTGAGGAACCAATTCATGGGAGTGCTAATTACACACTCTCCATATTCTAAAATATTTGGTGTCCCTCAAACATCAGGGGATCCTAAATTGTACTGCACTTCTGGGCTAGGACATTTTTATCACTTTTACAATTTTCCCGTGGGATTTTGCTCCTTCTTATTCTTGCGTGTTCCTTTTGTTTAATTTTGTCTATTTTGGAACCATGTTAATCGTTTTTTCGTCACCTCTGGAAGGTAGCTTTGAAGTACAACAGAACAATAATCGACAGATATCAAATTGCGCACAATGAAAACACTGTCCAATTGATATTTTCCTGCAATTATTGAGCCAATCAACGGGGGGGGGGGGGGGGGGAAGAAGTCACAAAAGAAGAATAAGGAAAAACAAGAATATACAAGTTGTCATTTTAGCTGTACGGCTTGTTAGATTTCTCTGAAAGTGTACATGTTATTTTATTTATTTTATTAATAAAATTTATACAGCAGCTTATCTCGTGGGCAATGGCTCTTGCCAGGACACAACAATCCAATAAAACAATAAATATAAAACAATTGTTTTATATTTATGGCACATGTGGCAGTTCGGTAAAACTGAATCTTGGGGCACATTGGGCTTGGGGCTGTAACTTAACTTAATGTAATTAAGTTAAGTTAAATTAAGTAACTTAACGTAACTTAAACTGCGTCTAACGTTTCTTAAAAGTGGCAAACCATCTTTGCCAAGAACTGAGTTGAACTCAGAACCTAGGTGCCTTTATATTTCGCCGCAGAAAGGGAATTTATGATGATTAAATAAATGGAGGAGCCCGGGGTTGATTCTCAGTTGATTCCAGCTTCATGAACACATGATGATACCTTAATTATTATTTTTTCCTTCCTCTCCTCTGTGATTCTAATACAAGGAGGAGAAGAAACACCCTCAAAACCAAGAGATAAAACTGCTGGTTTGCTTGAGCATCACTGAAATAAAAGTGAAGAGTTGGAGAAAGGGAATCCTTCTCACTGCAGGGAGATGTTTCCCCCCCCACACACACACACATACTGATGCCCGAATGACATGGTGAAAGCAACCGGATCACTGGAGATCCTGTTTACTTCCACGCCCAGCTCTGCCTGGAAATGACACTCCAAAGCCTGACCCTGCAGGGCCAAAGGGGCTGTTAAGCCGAGCTGGAAGTTGCCCTCTCTTTCCTCTTAGAAAATCAGATTTCGCACCCTGGTGAGCTACCCCGAGCCCTTTACTTCTGGAGTGAGGCACAGAAGGTCTGGGGAAATGTTACTGCGCGTGAATTCCAGGAACAGCACGTCACTTGCTAAATGTGATTCAGCCGGAATTACCCCAAAGGGCTGGGATCGGGACTGATAGTAAGATACAAACGGAAAAGTTACAACCCCCCCCCACTACTTTTGGAGGAAAGCAAAAAGTTGGAAAGAGGTACAGAGGAAAGAAAAGTTTAATAAAATGAAAGAAATTTGGCTGTGGCCAACTTATTTCTGACCAAATAAGCACATCTATCTATTTTTATAATACCATAGATCCATCCATAGATCTATCTATCTATCTATCTATCTATCTATCTATCTATCTATCTATCTATCTATCTATCTATCTATCTATCTATCTATCTATCTATCTATCTATCTATCTATCTATCTATCTATCTATCTATCTATCTATCTATCTATCCACTCCATCCACCCACCCATCATCTATCTATCTATCTATCTATCTATCTATCTATCTATCTATCTATCTATCTATCTATCTATCTATCTATCTATCTATCTACCTACCTACCTACCTACCTACCTACCTACCTACAGTATCTATCTATCTATCTATCTATCTATGATAGATAGATAGATAGATAGATAGATAGATAGATAGATAGAATCATCTATCTATCCACTCCATCCACCCACCCATCATCTATCTATCTATCTATCTATCTATCTATCTATCTATCTATCTATCTATCTATCTATCTATCTATCTATCTATCTATCTATCTATCTATCTATCTATCTATCTATCTATCATCATATGTGGACAGAATCTATCTGTCTGTCTGTCTATCTATCATCATATGTGAACAGTGTCTGTCTGTCTGTCTATCATCATATGTGCACAGAATCTGTCTGTCTGTCTGTCTGTCTGTCTGTCTGTCTGTCTGTCTGTCTGTCTGTCTGTCTATCTATCTATCTATCATCATATATGGACAGTATCTGTCTGTCTATCTATCATCATATATGGACAGTATCTGTCTGTCTGTCTATCTATCATCATATGTGGACAGTCTGTCTATCTATCTGTCTGTCTGTCTGTCTGTCTGTCTGTCTGTCTATCTATCTATCTATCTATCTATCTATCTATCTATCTATCATCATCATCATCATCATATGTGGGCAGTCTATCTGTCTATCTATCATCATATGTGGAGAGAGTGTCTGTTTGTTTGTCTATCTATCTATCATCATATGTAGACAGTCTGTCTGTCTGTCTATCTATCATCATATGTGGACAGTATCTATCTGTCTGTCTGTCTCTCTATCTCTCTATCTCTCTACAGCAGGGGTGTTAAATTGCCAGCCCAGGGGCCGGTTCCATCATACGGATGCCGTGCCCACCTCTGGCAATGTGAAAAAAGTCATGACGAGTTGACACCCGTGATCTACAGTATTTATTTTATGAGCTAAATCAGTTATGCTGAATCTAATATTGACAAATTCATTTTTTTCACCAATGCATACAGAGTTTTCTCTCTTGAGGTAAAGCCAGCCTCACCTCTTCCCGGTGCTCTTCTCCAGAACGCTGAATAAACCACCTAATGGAAGCTTGCTGTGACTTTGGGACACATTCCAGAAACGTTGAGTTAAATTCAATGCCAAAAATCACCTTTTCATCACTGGTTTCATGACTAATGCCTGGAAAGCAAACACAGGAGAGGGGATTAACCCTGCCCTGATTTATTAAAGAATGGGGAAACATGACTGATGCGGAGCAGATGGCAGAACAGCACCTTAAGCTGTTAAAGAAAACAAATGGTTTGGAATGGCACACAGACATTCAAATTAATGTCAGCCATTTATAACAATGCCATTCATCTTTGACTTGGTCCCTTCCTGTCATCTCCATCCCTGTGAAAGAAGAATTCGATCTATATTATTTCGTTCTGAAATTGCTTTCAATAAGGCTTAAGCCAAGGAAGTGAAATATTTAATTCATGTAAGTCTTTAACTCATTATTCCTGGACTAACCTATGAACTGGAACCCAATTATTATTTTTCATTATTGTAGATCATCACCACTACCCCCCAGACAAAAATGCATATATTGACCCAAAAATATATATATGAGAAAACTAAATGTTTTGGGAAAGCGGTCACATTAGAGAGAGAAAAAATGTGAATTCACGGAAAGAACTTTTGGGCTGTATATAAATATCCCCCAAAACATTTGGATATTCAGAGCATTCAAAAGTACTGGAATAATTCTACTGTGAAGATATTTACATTATTGTGGGAACAATTTGAATACCTTCAATTTGAATATTTTCAAAGATAGGATAGAAACAGTGGACACAATGAACTGACACTTTTGTGGTATGGGGAAAATAAATGGAGTTGGGTGCAACAGGAAACTTAAACAAAAAAAAAAAGGAGGACATTTTTCCCTAGCTACTAGACACAGGCGCACATGCTGGAAATTAAATTGTTTTCAAGATTTATTTCGTGTCATCCCCATCGGCCTACAATCAGTGGTAGTCAACCTGGTCCCTACCACCCATTAGTGGGCGTTCCAGCTTTCATGGTGGGCGGTAGGGGTTTTGTCCGATACTGAAGCACTTTCCTTTTTTTAATTTACTTCATTTTTTAAAAAAAAAAATCATAGCATTATTTAAAAACATTTTCATTAGGTTTTCATAAAATTCCCCATGACAACAGTTCAACAATTGTGGAATCAGGCTTTAGTGCTGTTAATCATATTATGACCAAAGAAAGAAACCGCCTGAATATTTCCGAAAGAGGAGACCTTCGTTTGTTCCTTACAAAAATTGAGCCAGATATCCAGTATTTAGTTTCACAGCATCAGCCTCAGGGATCTCACTAATAATTTAATTAATTAAATGTAATTTCATCAGACTTCATGCTTCAATGTATGCAAAGTATAAATAAAAAGATAGATTTAACTACAGTAAGTTGTTTTATAAAGATTTATTCTGCCAAACTTAGCGAAAGTCCCACATAAAGTATTTGGTAAGTAATTATTATTATATGCTTTAACTTGCTGTAACTCTGCTTTATAAATTTTATAAAGTAAAGTTACTTCCCTACTTTATAAATCACCTACTTTATAAATTACCGTGGAACCGGTGGGTAGTTAGAAAATTTTACTACTAACAGAGATACAAAAGTGGGTGGTAGGTATAAAAAGGTTGACTACCCCTGGCCTACATCATTGCCTTGTTATAAGACAAATAAAATCTATTCCTTCCAGAAATTTTATTTTGACTTCTTCTCTGGGACAGCTCTTCTCCCCACAGAACAAAAGCACAGAAACTCTCATTTTCCTTAACGCTGACCGCACTCAGGCCCTGCACATTTCTTTTGATTTGCGTACACAACAGGATTAATATGAAAACAACTGTGCAGTAATTGAAACCCTGAATTAAATATTCATTTTTTTAAGGAAAAATAATACTGTTTTGCTTCAGTGGTTTTACCCCCCCTCCCTACTCCTCTAAGAAAGGAAAATAAATATTCTGAACTGAGCATTTTAAATTTTATGTTATGTTGTTACAGAAATTTCAGCTTAACCACAAGGCTGACTATAGATAATGCATATTGCAAGACCTTGTGCCAGAGAGCAAGTTAGTCTGGCAGGAACATGAACAGCTTTATCTGTGGGAAGACAGTAAGCTGTTGCTGAAAAGGAGATTGCTTAATAATTAGTAGGGAAGAATTAGAAGAAATCCTGGATTACTTGCTAATTGGAACTAAGATTTCGGATTTTGGTCCCAAGAGTTGATGTGCAAAAATAGATAAGAAAATGTGAGAAGTGCATTTCATGATTTTGCTTCAGGAACTCTTCCTGACTTGCCTCCCACACGGAAAGTCTTCTTACATTCCTACAGAGACAATATTTTCCCATTTGGGTTCCAGAACGATGTTTTTTTCATCTCTTGATGGCTGCTGCTGATAACTAAATAGTAAGTTGCAATATTGAGAAAGAATAACAATACACCAGCCACCCTTGGTTATGGAATATTGGCGTCGATTTGTACATTGAGAGCTTCTGCACCGGAGACAAATTCCTTGTGCGTCCGATCACACTTGGCCAATAAAGAATTCTATTCTATTCTGTTCTGTTCTGTTCTGTTCTGTTGTTCTGTTCTAGTCTAGTCTAGTCTAGTCATTCCAATATCTATTCTATTCTATTCTATTCTATTCTATTCTATTCTATTCTATTCTATTCTATTCTATTCCATTCTATTCATTCCAATATCTATTCTATTCTATTCTATTCTATTCTATTCTATTCTATTCTATTCTATTCTATTCTATTCCATTCTATTCATTCCAATATCTATTCTATTCTATTCTATTCTATTCCATTCCATTCCATTCCATTCCATTCCATTCCATTCCATTCTATTCTATTCTATTCTTTCCAATATCTGGACAGCCATTTGTCCAAAATGGTATAGGGTTTCCTGCCTGAGCAGGGGGTTGGACTAGATGACCTTCAAGGTCCCTTCCAACTTTACTACTACTACTACTACTACTACTACTACTACTACTATTATTATTATTATTATTATTATTATTATTATTATTATTATTATTATTATTATTATTATTATTATTATTATTATTATTATTATTATTATTATTATTATTATTCTATTCATTCCAATATCTATTCATTCCAATATCTAATCTATTCATTCCAATATCTATTCTATTCTATTCTATTCTATTCTATTCTATTCTATTCTATTCTATTCATTCCAATATCTATTCATTCCAATATCTATTCTATTCTATTCTATTCTATTCTATTCTATTCTATTCTATTCTATTCTATTCTATTCTATTCTATTCTATTCTATTCTATTCCATAATTTCTATTCTATTCCACTCCATAATTTCTATTCTATTCTATTCTATTCTATTCTATTTTCTATTCTCTCCTATCCTATCCTATTGTACCCTACCCTACGGAACAGACAGCCTCAAGAGTCAAGAATACAATTCTCAACATCCAGAACAGACCAAGGCATCTCTTTGAGACACAGAGGAGCACCATGAGTTTTTAAAACAAAACAACAAAAAACCAGCCATCACTTATGGTTGGATTAAGGTTGCCAGCTTCTCAACTGAAATGAGAGATGTTGGAAACAAGAACACCAATTCAATACTTACTGTCTTCAACATCCCAGCACTGGGTAATCGGGTCTCCATATTTCACGTCTTGCCTCCTTGCACGCCTAGAAAATGAACAAATAAGTTGCCAAAATGGCATTTAAGACAGAATTCTTATGTTTCCGGCTGACAAGGCTGGTATGTACATTATATTTCAGGAAGGCAATTCATGGACTGAACCAAAGTAGGAAGATTCATTGTGTGTGCGTGCTGGGGACGGGAATAAGATGCGAATAATGACCCTGAAGAAGATTATAAAGCACTTGGTATTTTAAGAAGATCTTTCAACTTGTCTTGACCCCATTCCAACTTTCTTGTCTCTTCAATCCCAGGACTACTTTCAAGCAAAGAAAGAGTTGCCAAGAGATCTTGCCATGAAACCTGAGATTAAATCAAGTGAGTAATCAAAAACTACCCTTTCCATCTAATTGCTAAGGTTTCAGAGATATTTTATTCTAATGTAAATAGGAAACTACAGACCAGTTTTGGTCACCACGATGTAAAAAAGATGTTGAGACTCTAGAAAGAGTACAGAGAAGAGCAATAAAGATGATTAGGGGACTGGAGGCTAAAACATATAAGGAACGTTTGCTGGAATTGGGTATGTCTAATTTAACGAAGAGAAGGACGAGGGGGGACATGATAGCCATGTTCCAATATCTCAGGGGTTGCCACAAAGAAGAGGGAGTGAAGCTATTCTCCAAGGCGCCTGAAGGGAGGACAAGAAGCAACGGGTGGAAACTGATCAAGGAGAGAAGCAACCTAGAACTAAAGAGAAACTTCCTGACAGTTAGAACAATTAACCAGTGGAACAACCTGCCTCCAGAAGCGGTGAATGCTCCAACACTGGAAGTTTTAAAGAAGAGACTGGACAGCCATTTGTCCGAAATGGTATAGGGTTTCCTGCCTGAGCAGGGGGTTGGACTAGATGACCTCCAAGGTCCCTTCCAACTTTATGATTATGATTATCATGTAGAGAACTTAGTAGGAAAAATTATAGCAAACATCAATGGAGAAGGAAGGAGGTTCCCTTAGATCCCAATATGCTCCTCAGGATGTGTGCCTAATATTGACTGAGGTTCAAGGAACAAGCCACCATTAGGTATAATAGTTCAGATGGGCAGATTCCTTACCTTTTTGAAGTCGGGGTGTATCTGGAACAGGAATGTCCATCCCAAGCACAATAGGGGTCTCTGGCAAGGCAGCAATCAGCACATGCCTTCCCATATGTATGACATCTGTGCAAGGAAAGCTGAGCCAGCCCATCTCTGGAACCAATGTACAATTGTTGCTACAAATCAAACAAGGCAAACAAATGAGAAATAACTTCACATTGCTTTATAGCATTAAAGTACTTTTTTTAAAAATCTGTTATTATAGAAATGCCTTCACGTCCATCAATATTACTGTTTATAGAGCAGGGAACAGAATCCATGAAACTGTCTCTTTCCACATAGTTAAATGAACTAGGTTTATGGGCTCACAACCATTTTGTTATAAAGATAAGCAGAAAACCCTGGTATTTTTTTTAGAGACATTTCGAGTCACTCTTTTGCTGCAGCTTACCTGTTTAACATCATGGCATCACTTCCAATTATTTAGATTTGGCCTCAACTCTGCTTTGAAAATCCAGGGGCAATAACATAGTAAAAAAAAAACCAAAACCCTGACAGAAATCTAAAGAAGCTACACAAACTGATTAAGTAGGAAACTCCGGACCACTTTGTATACTAATTAATGAACATGAGTCCCCAGCAGAATTTAGGTAATTCAAACCTTCTTTTCGTGGCTCTTTAAGTCTTGAAATTCAATGTGTATAGACTTCAGCTCCCAGCATGCTGGCTGGGGAATTCTGGGAGTTGAAGTCCATACGTCTTAAAATGGCTAAAGTTAAGAACCCTGCTTTAAATATTGACAGAAGCAGTTCCCTGTAACCTTGACATGACCAAGTCTAGAGAGATGAAAACAGTTGTTCCAAATGAAGATGGAACCTTAAATTTGCTTATGAAGCATAAATCCTGCTGAAGCCACTCAGATTAACTTCTGAATGAACACTGGGGGATTTGCATAACACAGTTACTGATAATGATATATCAGTGTGACAAATAGGTTCTGCACAAAAGCTATCAGCAAGAAAGAATCAAACTAATATATATATGCGATATCTTCTTCTTCCCTCTTTTACTGTTTTTCTTTAATATGCAATGAATATAGAGTGTTCATGTGGAATGTGGAAATGGATTTCAAATCAAAAGGAGCAATTTGACAGGAAGGACCAGAAAGGGTAAGATTAGGAAAAAAACAAGGACTGGAGGCTAAAACATATAAGGAACGGTTGCTGGAATTGGGTATGTCTAGTTTAACGAAGAGAAGGATGAGCAGGGACATGATAGCAGTGTTCCAATATCTCAGGGGCTGCCACAAAGAAGAGGGAGTCAAGCTATTCTCCAAGGCGCCTGAAGGCAGGACGAGAAGCAATGGGTGGAAACTAATCAAGGAGAGAAGCAACTTAGAACTAAGGAGAAACTTCCTGACAGAACAATTAACCAATGGAACAACCTGCCTCCAGAAGCGGTGAATGCTCCAACACTGGAAGTTTTTAAGAAGAGACTGGACAACCGTTTGTCTGAAATGGTATAGGGTTTTCTGCCTGGGCAGGGGGTTGGACTCGATGACCTCCAAGGTCCCTTCCAACTTTATTATTATTATTATTATTATTATTATTATTATTATTATTATTATTATTATTATTATTATTATTATTATTATTATTATTATTATTATTATTATTACATGAAATATTACACACAGGCTTTTAAAAAGCCATTTATCAATTGCTCTTTACAAATTACCTGCTTTGGAGACATCTCCATGGTCAAAATAGGTGATGGATGCTGCAAAGCAAATGAACAAATGTCAGTGAAGGCAGAGTCAACATCACTTGCATTTATCTGGAGGAAAAGATGTTATCAAGGAAAGGGCGTGTGTCATATCCCTCAAGAACACCGATTTGTATCTAAGCCTTTTTGAGAAACCAGTTCTGTTCAGATCTAATCTGGAATATCAGAATGGAATTCCAGGCTTATGTAATCTTGTAAATGAAGGTGGTTTAATGGAGATAACACCCAGTGCAGTCTTGAGTGTTTGAAGTTGCTTCCTGGGTTTGAGTTTTCCATAACCAAGAATTCTTCCTGAGAGATTTCAGGAAGAACATCTTAATTGAACTGAACAATCTTTGGGTGGTCAAATAAACCTTTTCTTCAAGCAAGCAATGTGGACTACAATATTCCTGGAGTGAGGAAATTCCTCTCCTTTGTGGATCACTTGTTCTTGGAAATACCTACATCAAATTAAATAACTCTCAGATGGATTAATAAAGATATAGAGAACCTACAGTAATTTTCCCCCTCTATTTTTTCTGTAAGAAAAAAAAAGAAAAGAAACGAAGTGCATAAAGTAGAGGAACATCTGTTGAGCTAATAGCTCTGTTTGGTATTAAATCTAACATTACAAATATGCAACAAATTGGTACATGCTTAATAATTCCAGATAACTTGGCAGCTGATTGGTGATCCCAGATATTTTCGACGTGATATAGTTATAATTAGTGCCTGTGGCAGCCAAATTGTGATACAGGAAGGTTTAAAACAAGAATCATCTACTTAACATCTCCCTTAACAGGGAGATTAATTTCATTTTTTTTAAAAAAAAAAAGTTTTTCCTTCTGAAATGATTATTTTGCAATAATAGCTCATCGTATCTGAACACCCTGAAGGTGTTCATGAAGGCCACAAATGAGCTTGTCTGGAAGAAGACTTAATTCTGGGGGGTTGTACCATTAATACATGCAACAATATCACGAAGATCTCATTACATCATGGTCCTTGGCAATACAGCTGCTTAATTAGCAGCCTGGAGGAAATGTCATGATTTGGAATAAGGGCACAGCACCCCAGCAAGTACGTTTGCTAAGATGATCAAAACGGTTTGCCTATCCTTGAAATGACTGCAGACTTTTACTCCACCAGGATTTGTCTCAAATTTCACTCTTCGTGCTTTTTTTCCCCTCTTTAATAACTCCCCCCCAAAAAAACGTATTTATATTGCCGTTATTGAAGTCTTTCCTCTGGCCCAAAATATATCCTAGCCGACCAGAGTCATTGGATAGGAGGTGGACGGCAAATACATTTCATAACAAAATTAAAAATAAAAACAAATATCTTGATCATTTTTTTCCTCTAGTGCAGAGGTCCCCAACCTTTTGAGCACAAGGGACCGGTTACGTGGAGAGAGGTTTTTCCGCAGACTGGAGGATGTGTGGTTTTGTGTGCTGCCTGCATTTTAAAGATGGGGCTTTGATTGTTTGTGTGGACCGGTTGCTGGCATGCCGTGGACCGGTACGGACCAGGGGTTGGGGACCTCTGCTCTAATGTAAAAGATAGTTCACTTTTGGAGACCTACCTTGAATATTTGTAGTTCTTCCAGGATCACCTCTTCCATGTCCCATTTTTCTTTGGCGATGCTCAAAACTTTCAGCACTGTTCCTATATCTGAAATTGAAAGGATTCTACTGAAAAAAGCTATCAGGATGTTTCCCCACTCTGGAAACAGTTCATTTATTAACGCTTTCCTATAAACGGAAGCCTTGTATTTTCATTCTTCTCCCAGTACTTTTTAGCTAAATCCATATCATATATAAATATCCATTTTTCCCCATTCTCTGATCACTACTTGCTACTGTTTAATACCAAGGAGAGAACATGTTATAAAGACAATGAGTAAATCTAATTTGTTGCTTGCATACAGCCACAGCCTATAGTTACGGATCTTGTCAAGGGAAGAGAGAAAGACCTTTATCCAAGTGATAGCTGTTGGTCTTCTGTTAAGTGGTGGGATTTTTTTTTTATTATTATTATTTGTGGTTGTGAGCTGCCTAGGATTTTGATATCATGCAGATGCTGGGAGCTAGACAGGATGAGGGGTGACATGATAGCAGTATTCCAATATCTCAGGGGCTTCCCCAAAGAAGAGGGAGTCAAGCTATTTTCCAAAGCGCCTGAAGGCAGGACAAGAAGCAACGGATGGAAACTAATCAAGGAGAGAAGCAACCTAGAACTAAGGAGAAACTTCCTGACAGTTAGAACAATTAACCAGTGGAACAACCTGCCTCCAGAAGCAGTGAATGCTCCAACACTGGGAGTTTTTAAGAAGAAACTGGACAGCCATTTGTCCGAAATGGTATAGGGTTTCCTGCCTGAGCAGGGAGTTGGACTAGATGACTTCCAAGGTCCCTTTCAACTACTACTACTACTACTACTACTACTACTACTACTACTACTACTACTACTACTACTTCTTCTTCTTCTTCTTCTTCTTCTTCTTCTTCTTCTTCTTCTTCTTCTTTATCATCATCATCATCATCATCATCATCATCATCATCATCATCATCATCATTATTATTATTATTATTATTATTATTATTATTATTATTATTATGAGTGCTAGCATGCATTCATGTGATCCCAAGTTAGTTATCAACTGAATTAGTTCTCGGCAACTCATTTTACGTAATGGTATGCGGGAAGGATCTTAAGAAAGGAGCGGAAGAGATGCTGCCCAGGGAAGGATCAGAGAGCAGCCCACAACTGCTTAATAGGCAAAGAAATAAATTTAGGAAGGATCCGGCCTAACATATCAGACTATTAAAAGTAACGGTGGGAGATTAGTATTCTCAGACTTGCAAGATTCTGCTAATGTAGCCTGACAATAAAGTAGAATTAGCTCATCTGCTCGTGTTTTCTGTCTTGTTTACTTGGGAGGGCTGACATTTTATTACCATCTTATTCTCCTACAAGTGGAATAAATTGATAAATGATCATATGTAGTGCCCCCAAATGTTATAAAGGTGACTGTAAGCAAACATTTCAGTTATAAATGTTATAAAGATGGCTATAAGCATGTGCAGTCTTCAGCGCTCATGCAGGTTTCCACCATGCACAAGGCCTCTGAGCCTAGACTAAGCACTAGAAACTTTTCCTGATCATAAAAAAAATAAAATGAAATCCAGTGTGCTTTTCACGCACCCCAAAAGCCCTCCAGGTACATTGTCAATGGATTATGCAAACGAGCAACGAGCAACAATGCCAATTCCCCTGCAATCAATTGTGAATTATTTCCTATATTTCCCCTCTCCTGCATTGTGTGCGCATGGAACTTTTCATATGGAAGTGATTGAACAAATAAAAGATCCTGAAATTAAGTAACCGAAGACCAAACATAAAGGAAAGAAAAGCATCTTTTAACTTAACGGTACTGCAGACAACGTTGCTTCAAGCTTCTCCTTTGATTAAACTGACTGCCTCGTATGCTAATTTCACTCAATTTAAACCTCATGATGAAGGTAATTATGCCGTTAGTATTAATCTTTGTTATGAGAAGAATGATTGAGAGGTAAATAGTTTCCAGTAAACTGACCACATTCAATTTCCTACTTTGGTCGAATTCCTTCCAAAGTGCTAAAATTCCGTGCAGTATCGCTTAATCTGAAGGAGGGGAAGACGACTCTTGTCTGAATAAACCAATTTCTGAATGTTGAAAAAATAAGCTGAGTCTGATCCGTTCACCACATTTTCAAGATGAAGGGAGGGTTTGGTTACATGCAGTCTGAGGAGGACTGAATCGGAGCTCTTAAAACATGGCATGCTGAGGGAAAGGTGGAAAGGTGAGCGTGTTAAACCAAGGACCATCTTTACAAAGTAGCCATGTAACCAAGCTCAGTTCCTGAAGCTACATGGTACAGTGGCATTGCAGAAGACCGTTGCATTTTGAGGGTTGTAGTGACATCTCTTGATTTCTCCTTCATATTACAAAGATCCCAGAAGTTTCAATTTCAATCAGAATAGGGCTGGAAGGGACCTTGGAGGTCTTCTAGTCCAATCCACAGCAAAAGTAGGAGACTCTATACCTGTGATGATCCAGGGCCCCAAACGGAGGCAAAACAATTAGCTGGTCAGAATAATTGTCTTTGTAAGCACTGCCAACATTCACCCAAAGCCCCCACATATACTAGCACAAGTTCAATAAAACAGTCAACGGAGTTAAACAGTTCTTTAAAGTAAAACAGATAACAAACAAAGTATGATCTTTTCAACGCCCAGCTTGCCTGTAACCTGCAAACTGCAAAACTGAGGACAGCAAGGAGAACTCAGCAGGAAACAACCTTGATCCAAAATACAAAGAGTCCAGGTACAAGAGCTCACATCACAAGAGTTCACGTTTGTTCCCGGCAAATGCCCCACCCCCCAGCGTCTCCTTAAATACCTACTCCCCAGGTGTGCCTTGTGGAGTGGGTGTAACGCTCTCCTCCCGATCAAGTGAGCCTGCCTCCGTTGTTCCCTCCTCCTCTCTGCTCTCCTTGCTCTGGGATCTGGTGGGGAGGGGCCTTGCTCCTCGCCTGAGCTCTGCCTTCCCTGTTCCAAACTTGAAGGGCCCTGGCCTGCTTCAGCCTGTTCCTCCTCACAGTCCTCCAAAGCCACAGACACCCCCTCCTGGGCCTCAACAGGGAACTCCATGTCATCCTCAGAGTCAGGCTCGGACGGAGGCATGACAATACCAGGGATAGGCAACCTTGGCTCTTTTATGACTCGTGGACTTCAACTCCCAGAATTCCTGAGCCAGCATGACTCAGCTTGGAAACCTCTCCCTTTCCCCTCAGCACAGCTGGCTCAGGAATTCTGGGAGTTGAAGTCCACGAGTCATAAAAGAACCAAGGTTGCCTACCCTTGCTCTATACCATTTAAGACAAGTGGCTGTCCAGTCTCTTCTTAAAAGCCTCCAGTGGTGAAGCATCTACGACTTATGGAGGGAAGCTGTTTCACTGGTTAATTGTCCTCCCTGTTAGGAGAACTTCTCCTTAGTTCTAGGCTGCTTCTTTCCTTGATTAGTTTCCATCCATTGTTTCTTGTCTTGCCTTCTGGTGCTTTGGAAAATAAGTTGACCCCCTCTTCTTTGTGGCAGCCCCTCAAATACTGGAATACTGCTGTCATGTCCCTCCTAATCCTTCTTTTCCCTAGATTGGCCATACCCAATTCCTGCAACTGTTCTTCGTATGTTTTTGTCTTCAGGCCCTTAATCATCTTAGTTGCTCTTCTTTGCACTTTTTCCAAATCTCGACATCTTTTTTGTTATGTGGTGACCAAAACTGGATGCAGCACTCCAGGTGTGGCCTTACTAAGGATTTATAAAGCAGTACTAACACTTCATGTGATTTTGATTCTGTGCCTCTGTTTATACAACCAAGAACTGTATTAGCTTTTTTGATTGCTGCAACACACTGCTGGCTCATAGGACTCCAAGATCCCTCTCACAGCTACTGTTTCTGAGTCAGGTTTCACCTAATCTGTAGTTGTACCTTTGGTTTTTCCTGCCTAGGTGTAAAATCTTGCCTTTCTCCACATTAAATTTCATGTTGCTGGATCTAGGCCCATTGTTCAAGTCTGTCAAGAACTTTTTGGATTCTGAGCTTGTCTTCTGGGGTGTTGGCTATTCCTGCCAGTTTAGTGTCATCTGCAAATTTTATGAGTTCTCCTCCTATTCTCTCATCTAAGTCATTCATGAAGATATTGAAGGGTACTGGGCCTAAGATGGAACCTTGTGGTACTCCACTGCTTAGAGTTCATTCTGAGTTATGATAATATCTAAGTTGTTTATTTTTCACTCTTGCTTGATAAATAAAGAGAAGGGAGGAATCTTCACACACCATAGGAGGACCTCAAGATCATTTAAGCTGGTACCTGCTTATCTGTACGTATATTTCCCAGGGTCTTGTTTACATCTCAGGGAAACAAATGCACCATCCAGCCAAGTTCAGGTCCTACTACTTTGGTACCATGGAAACAAGGTCATAAGGTTTTGGTGTCAGGTTTTGCTAAGACCCTGGTGTTGCCCTTTGAGCTGTGAGCTTCCACAAACACCTAGGTGCTGTGAGACTCGGCCATTTTGGGATCTCTCCATTGGGCCTCCCAAAAGCAGAACTAAGATTTGTTATCATCTCACACGGTGCTTTTGTGTTTCTGTTTCAATCTGTCTGCTAAAATTAATAATGTGTTATTAACATGTAATATGTTAATATGGAAGAAGCTCTGCCACTGCTTTCTTCTAAGATGTTCTTTAGACTTTCCAATCCTGGAATTTCCTCAAGGAAAAGCAGCCCAAGTGATGACCACCTCTCCACCTGGATAGCTTTCTCTGAAATTAACCCTGATTAGCTGGATGCTGTCATTAGAGTGGATGTGATCAGCTTTCTTAAAAGTGGGAGTGAAAAAAAATCCCTTCACATTCCTGATGGGTGCGCAACTACTCCACCGAACCACCTTATTCACAAATTACAAAAATCTACCTGGATTTTCCAAATTCTCAAATGACTCCGGCCACCCAGACTGAACCCCAATTTTTTGGTCCCTTGAAGGAGGCTTCCTTTTCACTAAGCAGCCAAGGAATGTGAGTAGCTCCCCTGCGGATGATGAATGCTAGCAAAAGTTTGATGCTGGAACCAGGAAGGCCTTCTACCCAGCCCTCTGTCAGAGATACCGACCCTTGGATTCCTGCCCAGAGCACAGGGTGGCCGGACAGGCCAATGGCCTTCTCCAGCTTTAGCATTATACGATTCTCTCAGCGCCTCGGGGGCCCCCCAGCTCCCGCTGTCTACTTCTTCCCTTCCAGTTGCTTAGTCCTGATTGTCTGACAACATTTACAAAATGTTCCCAGATTGGAACAGATATTCATAACCACTCACCTGTTATTTGCAATTGGCGGATAAACATTAAAGGGTATCTACTACATCTTGAAAAAAACATATGTTTCATGTCCATTGAGAATCTTGAAACGGATGAAAAATTAAGTACCCAGTTCAAGGTTCTGATTGGCCTTTTGGGAGGAAAAAAAGCTTTTTCTAAACATTATGCCATTTGAATGACTAGATAATTTACAACAGATCTTCAGAAGCCTCTACACTTCTGCGCTTATTTCTAATATATTTTTGTTTATCTATTTAGTTCTTATGCTTGGAGGCTTTGATTTCTCTAATAAAAAAGAATTCAGAGTCAAATTGTCATTGCAATTTGGTGGGTGAGATTAGGCTAAAAACGGGTTGTGTGTATTCACTTTGCAACTTTATTAATTGAGTCCTTGTTTCGGCTTTCTTTCAAAGCCAACCGCAAAAACATGTTGTTCAATCTTTCATGCTATTATGTTTAATTGCTGACAAAACTGCCACTAGGTTGATTTAGTAGTGAGCAAGTTGTTAGTTTCTTAACATGTCAAAAGAATCTTATTTTTCCATAGTCTAGATTAGTCTTCTCTGCTAAAATTCTGGACTGCCACCTACTGACTATTTTAAACTTGCAGACATCTATTATAATGAAGAGCAAAATGGAATAATAGTTAAGAGCCAATTCAAATAGGCTCAGCTATAAATATCTTTAACCTTAGTTTGTCTTAACCCTGATTCAGATCAGATATGAGAAAGTCTTAGTTTCTCTCATTTAGCAATTCTTTTCCGTTAGAGGAACCAGGATACCAATTTTAGCTTTTCACAATTTTCCTCCATAACCAAATTAGCCTTTTTTCTATCTCTGATGAATGTATGGGCCTAAAAGTCCCTATTAAAAATTGTGTGTGTGTATGTGTGTGTGTGTATCTTTGAAAGAAGCTTTAATGTATCAAGCATCAATCTGTAATGTAATTCTAACACAATATTTTTCTTTGAGAAGAGATACTGTAAGGATACTTTACATTCCAATGGAATAGTGATGTAGAAAATACAACATGGGTAAACTAGGATCAACAAAGCTGTTTTATATGAATCTTCCATTATATTGGAGGGGAAAAAAACCTTAGCCAGACCAGCTTGTCACTTTGCAAGTTAAAAAACTAGAGGAATCTTCACTCTTTGTGCAGTATGGAAACGCAACCTTTTGCAGGTTGCTCAGAACTTAAGCCTTTCTGAAGTTGAGAAGTAAAAATGAATAAATAAGCAAACAACAGTGACAATCTGCTTCCCTCTGAGAATATATATATTGTGTTGTCATCAGGACCAGAATCTGATTGTACCTTTAGATGTTGTATGCTGCAATTGCTCTGCTCTAGTTATCGTATCGCTTGTTATTAAGTCGATGTATCTGTTTGTTTCAGGGTTCACTCAATCCCAAACAAGCCTTTGGGGAAATTAGATATAAAGTTTGTCTTTTAATAATTTGGAAGTCACGCACGTCTCTTTGTTCTAGACTTACCTGTTCCTAGAAACATGACATCATACTGGCCGTCTTCAGCTGTGACACGATCCACCACGATCTGAGTCAGCCGGTAGTCCACGTTGATCTGAGTGAAGACCGGAGCCCGACTCACTGGGTGGGCCGCCCTATGCATCAGGGGGTGGCGCTTGATGAAGCTGATGACATCATCAGGGAAATCCCTGGTGGACTTGACCAAGGGGTCGTAGGTTTTGCTTGGACACTGATGGAGACGAGAGAGAGAGAGAGAAGAGGCAATCTCTTTTAGCATGGAAGGCATTTATGATCCTGGCTGGCTGCGGGGAGCAAAGATAAGGGACCTGAATGTTGTCAGCCTTTTAGTCACCCATGTTGGTTTGCTCCAGGACTACAGTTAATCCTCGACTTACAACTGTTCATTTAGTGGTCGTTCAACATCACTAAAAAAAGGTGACTTATGACTCTTTTTCACACCTACGACCGTTGCAGCCATCTCCGTGGTCACGAGATCAACATTCAGCCACTTGGCAACTGATTCATATTTATGATGGTTGCCATGTCCCTATGTGTGTGTGTGTGTGTGTGTGTGTGATCCCCTTTTGCGACCTTCTGACAAGCAAAGTCAGTGGGGAAGCCAGATTCACTTAACAACCGTATGACTGACTTAACAACCACAGGGATCCATTTAACAAATAATAATAATAATAATAATAATAATAATAATAATAATAATAATAATAATAATAATAATAATAATAATAATAATAATAATAATAATAATAATAATAGTAAAGTTGGAAGGGACCTGTGGCAAGAGAGGTCAAAAAATGGGGCACATTCACTTAACAAATGTTTCACTTAATAACAGAAATTTGGGGGTCAATTGTGGCAATAAATCAAGGATTACTTGATTTAGGACCATCCCCACATTCTCAGGCCCCCCTCTTCCTTCAGAAGTCCCAGTTTCAGGAGAGGAGGGAGAAGAGAAATGAATGGGTGAAAAAAAATTAGGGAAAGAAGTAGGAAACATAGAGAGTAAAACATGCTACAAGTGGGAGGACCACCGGAGCAGAGCTGCAGTCTCTGCTAAGTTCAAACATCTTCATTGCTAAGTGTATTTGGTCCTGTTCTCCAGTCATTGCAGGTTTCATTTGCCTTATTTCTAAACATATACAGTCTATTCACACAACCTACATCTTGCTTGCTGATCTCCTAAAGCAGTAATGGCGAACCTTTTAGAGACCGAGTGCCCAAACTGCAACCTAAAACCCACTTATGTGTTGTCAGGTGCCGGGTGGGCGTTGCCAATTGTGTGGGTGTGGCCAATTATGTGGGTGTGGCCAATTAGGTGGGCATGGTCCATTGTGTGGGCGTGGCTGCAGTGGTAACGGCAGAACTGGGTGGGACTAAAAAGTTCAATCAATCAATTCCAACTTTGCAAGTTCTTTTTTTTTCCCCGCGAGAAGTTGAAATCTTTTTTTTTTGCACACGGCGGCGGAGGCCTAAAGCGAAAAGGTTTTATAAAACCCAGCTGAAGACCTAGGATTGGGGCGACGGCGCATGTGCCCACAGAGAGGGCTCTGAGTGCCGCCTCTGGCACCCGTGACATAGGTTCACCACCACTGTCCTAAAGAGTTCAAAAACACACACGTTACAGAAAAGCTGCTGCAGTTTAACTGCCACCATTTGGGAATCTATTCTGCTCGTGAGAAATAATTTTCATCTAAAGCTGAAAAGTTAAAATTGCTTTAGTTGGTGTTAGTACACAAAATATTAAAATAGTCTCTCGTATCTGAAAACGCCTACTTCTTTAACAGTGGTAAAAGATATTCTTGGCTTCATCTTCTGAAAAGATGTCATATTTTACTCTCTGATACTGTCAGGGGAAAAAAGGAAGTGCTAGAAACCAACCGGAAAGGATTCTGAGGCTGTCAGGAGCTAAAAGCCTTGGATTAATATCTAAATTCCTATTCTTGTAGTCAGCACCAGAGGGATTAAAAAACCGGCTGATTCATCCAGGCTGTTTTCAGCTATGGCACTGTCTTATCCAGGGACTTTTAAAGAGTTACTCTGGCACTGCCAATAGCAAACATTTAATTTCATGTAGCTGAAAAATTTAGTCAAAGCAAATGCCCAGATGTCTTCATTAAGTATTTTTCAATTGTTAATAAATATCGCCCTCTTCTGGTTGCTATTAGAAAAGCACTTGGATCCTGATGAACTGTATTCAAAAAAGATTTATATGCATAATAAGCCTATTAATGTCTAAAAACCTTACAAATGCTTTCGTTACAGCCTCCAATGTGGCTACTGCCTTGGAAAATAATGCAGTATCAAAACATCTACAGACATGTTTTCTTAAATCCTGATATTTAGATTTCTCACATAACATTGGACTATTACAGATGCCTTGCAGAGATGGTCGTGACCAAATTAAGACTATTACTAAATAAATTATCCACGCTCCAGAAATGAGCGATGACAATCTTTCAAAATGGACTAAGGAAAGATTGATCTCCCTGGCCCTGATTCCTATTCTGGATCAAGGTCATCATACACCACGTGCTATGGATTGTGAGTGCAAGGTCACACCAGAATATTAAAAGCATTAATAGTGAAAACAATAGGAATTAGAGTTATACACCGCTTCGCAGTGCTTCACAGCCCTCTCTAAGCAGTTTGCAGAGTCAGCAAATTGCCTCCAACAATCTGGGTCCTCATTTTACCAATCTTGGAAGTATGGAAGGATGAGTCAACCTTGAGCAGGTCAGGATCGAACTCCTGGCAGTGGGCAGAGTCAGCCTGCAATGCTGCCTTCTAACCACTGTGCCACTATGACTCTTAATTAATCTGATAGCTTTTTTTGTGCAGTTTGGAGAGTGTGCATGTGTGACAGGTAGGAAGGATGACATTTTTCGGTTAACATTGCTCTGGTTTTCAGAATCCTACTACAACACTCCAACCAGAAACTCTACACCAGTTTGATGAGGAGGACCATGACTTTAAGGCCGTGTTTCTCAACCTTGGCAGCTTAAAGATGGGTGGACTTCAACTCCCAGAATTCCCCAGCCAAGTCCACCCATCTTGAAAGCATAAGGGAGTATCAGATGGTAAGCTTGCTTATCTGTGGTCCCAATGGATATGAATACTCCATTATCTTCTCATATTAAATGGATAATACCCATGTTTTCTCCCAAGGGGAACGATTACATACAAGAAGCCTCTTACATGAAGCAGATGGACAATTTATAAAAAAAGTTGACGGTGCTCTTTGGAGTTGATGGATTCGCAATTTTGACACAGATCTTTTAAGGAAATCCAAGCGGCAATCATCCTGTGCACATATGCTCCAGGGCCAAATGCACCATGTGGCAGATCTATTATGCTTAAATGCAGGAGGGGAAAAATTGGTGGTTTTGGGACGTGCTTGAGCACTTAAGGTTTGGCACTGCTTAGAGAACATGATGCATGCTGAAACTATCCCAAAAACTGGATGGAATCTTCTGAGTTGTTTGTGTCCATTTTTTTTTAAAAAAATACCCCAAATTGTTGCCTAATGCTACTTAGGTAATTTTATGGCAGCATGCCACTTGCTTAAGTCCAGGCAACTGATTTGAACTTTGGGAAGTCAGGAACATTTTTTTTTTCTGATAGGGACTGGAAAATCAGATTAAGTTCTAATAGCTGCAACAACTGTCAAATGCAGTGTTTCTCAACCTCAGCGACTTTTAAGACGTCTGGACTTCAACTGGGAGTTGAAGTCCAGATGTCTTAAAAATTGCTGAGGTTGAGAAATCCTGGTGTAACAGTTTGGCCCTACATACACCCAACCTTGAAACCCAAGGGAAAACAAGAAGTCTCCCCTTTCTTATTCATTGTCTTCGTTTATTGAGAGAGATGAACACATTTCTGTGCAAAGAAGCCATTATGTTCTGCAGACCCAGAGTTCATAGGTTAACTACTGAAAATATCCTCACATTAAATGAACCTGGTCCTATTCATACACCTGTAGGATTAAGCTTTGGCCACCCAATGAGAAGGAAGGACTCACTGGAGAAGAGCCTAATGCTGGGAAAGATGGAGGGCAAGAGAAGAAGGGGACGACAGAGAATGAGGGGGCTGGATGGAGTCACTGAAGCAGTAGGCGTGAGCTTAAATGGACTCCAGAAGATGGTAGAGGACAGGAAGACCTGGAGGAACGTTGTCCATGGGGTCGTGATGGGTCGGATGCGACTTCGCAACTAACAACAACAACAAGGATTAAGCTAAATGATCTTTCTCTGTGACCATTCAGGTAAAGTATTTCATGTCTTCTGAACACTGTTTCTTAGGGGAATAACATCTCCTTCACACTTCTCTAATACGATCTAAAATGTTGCTCCAGGTTGCCAACATGGAAAGCCAGAAAAAAATTCCCATTTGGATTATGCTACAGCTTCCATTTGGATCCTGTCCTAGAAAAACCCAGCAAAGTGTGACAGTGTCCAGTGCTATTATTTTAAAACAGAAACTTCTGCAAAGAAGCCTTTACACATCCCTTCCATACGCAGAGATTGGAAAGTATGTTCTACTTGGAATAACAAATACCCAGAAATCATAAAGTACAGCAGTTCAGAAGACAAAAAGGAGGAATGTGTGGATTTATAAACATTTAACTGTCCTGGAAAAAAGGACCGCTGCCTGAGCACTGCTCCTGGTCATCATGTATCTATCACCTTGTGGTAAGACGGGAGGCCAACTGAATTTTATAAATAAATAAAAAGAAATATATTGCCGAAGGCAATTTAGTTTCTTTAACAAAGCAGAACAAAAGTTAAGAGTTCTGTAGAGCAGAATGTTTAACCTCACAGTGGACACGGCTGAGCCTATTACAGAACAGCTGTGAAATAAAATAAACATTTCAACAACCTTAATTAATGCAAGCAATTGGGGTTTGGAAGGGAAGCAGCATTTTAGAAGGCTATGGACCTGTTCACACCTTAGGAGGCATGTATATACTATAGACAATAAAAGGTTTCTAAGAGGGGCCTCCGGTTTGCCATCGCAGCTGCTGCAGCCGCTGGAAGGCGAGTTCCATCTTCCGCGTTCAGTTTCGTTCCGCTGGGGGACCCTGGAAAGGGTCGAAAGTCGCCCTGTAGGGGCAATGAGCAAGGAGGGGACCCCCGCTTGATTGCAGGAGGGCAGCAGCCCTTCCGCTTGATCTGGGGCAGCTCTCCAAACTGGTGGAGGAAAGACCGGCCATAG